CCAGAAGTCTACAATCATCATGTTTTGTGAGATGTTTGGTAAAAAAAATAGAACAGTTATTCAGTAGTTTGGAATCTTCCAAACCAACCAATATTAGTAACAGTCTTTAAAACAAACGGGAAGTGTTATGATGTATGGAATTCCTAGATCTGATCTCGATACGTGCTAACCTCATAAAGATGATAGCTTGAATGAGGAGATATAAGCAATAAATAAAATCTATTTCGCTAGTAAATCACAAAATACTGGCGTACATTAACATTTCAGCGAATTAAAAAATGAATCAATTTATTGACCAATGAGATTCATTCGTCCTTTAGGACATTTCTGAAGGTCATCCTATGGCCTCTTCTAATTGGCTTATAGTGTTAAAAATCTAAAAAATCACAAAAGTGATTGATATAAACTAATTATTCAAAGGCACGATCTTACTATGCCCTTTTGTAATCAGTCACGAAAAACCGTAGTTCAAATAGATTGTTAGTATTAATTCTGATTTAATGAGATGTTTGTACACATTTCAGCATGTAGTATTAATAGTTTCGAATCAATTTCTAAACATTTCCCCACTATAAAATTATGGAGATCGTTGTTTTACATGGAAATCATGAATCTATCATTGTTGTTGTTTTAGAATGGGACTCATCAGCAGTGTCTATTCACGACTCCTGATATTCACAGGACTCGAACCCAAGGCTTTCGGTCTTGCACGCGAACGCATAGCCTGTGGACCACTGTGCCGGAATCCGATGATGTTTATGTATAACTCTGATCAGTCTAAGGCTTTTGCGCAACCTCACTCATTGTCATCGGTAGTTACCGCTCAAATCCGACAGGATCGCACTCTACTGATCACGTCTTCTCACTCGAACTTCGAGAATATCCTTACGAAGCTAGTCAGTACTAGTGAGCCCATTTTCTGAAATCTGCATTGTCTACTTATGGAAATAGTTGTTTTATATAAAAAATCATGAATCGATCAATGTTACACCATCATTAGAAACCTGTAAGTACTAGACAACCGTTTCGTTATATTGTGTGCTACTCATCATCAGTGAAACCATTGAAAATAGTGGCACATTCAAAAAATAATATTGATTTACAAAAAAAAAGAAAAACTTACTCGTACAACTGATGGAATTAAACCAGCGATATGAATTAATTCTTCTTGTATTGCTGAATCTTTAGCCATTATCTGTAATGATGCTAAAGTTAATTCTAACATATCATCAAGATTAACACCTTCAAGAAAATTGTTTGCATCATAGTCAAGTATATTCGTTGTAGTAGTAGTAGGATTAGTAGCAGTAGCAGTAGTAGCAGCAGTAATAGCAGTAGTAGTAGAGTGATGTAGTTGTTGTTCTTTATTGATTTTATTCAATGAATTCATAGTTTGTAAGAAAATATTCGCTATCATTGCTGGTATGTTGAAGCTTCTATTTATACAGGAAGAAGTATAGAAATATATATTAAATAAAATATAATTGAATCTGTAATCTTTGTCGTTGAAATGAGGAATCGATGAAGTTGGAAGCAATGGATGACTTTTAGATCCTAGTATGTGGGACTCATCAGCAGTGCGTATGCATAACCCTACGAGCAGGAATTGAACCTAGAACCTCCCGTCTTATACACAAACGGTTAATCTCTTGACCACAGAGTTTATATCCAACAGCGTTAATGTCTAACTTGAACTAATCCACGACATTGCACGATCCATTGTCTTCAGTAAGTAACTGCCTCACACCTGAAACAGTTGGGCCTATATGGTCATGGCTTCTTATTAGAACTCCGAGACGATCATGGATTGATTCAAGTTGGACACAACCACCACCGTTGGATAAAGGGATCAATGATCAAGAGGTGAAGCGTTCGCGTGAGACCGAACGTTCGATTCCTGCTTACAGCGTCATGAATATTCACTGCTTATGAGTCTCATACTAGGATGAAACGGCTATCTTGTTCTTCCAAGTTTCCAACGACGGTTTAACATTGACTGATGCGTGATTTCAACAATTCTCACAACCCGATTCTTCATAGTGATCATGAATATCCAAAACCATAATGGGAAGAAATAACTGTCTAGCCGTTTCTGGTTTTCAATACTTATCTAATTCAAAGCGACATCGTAATGTAAGTATCATATAATAAATAGTCTGTCAGTCATCTTCCACTGACAAAAGTAATCACGATCCTTTAACTAATATTTAAGGGTGTTATCATAGAGAGAGAGAGAGAATAAAATTGATTGGATTAGAATTTTTTCTAAGGTTCGTTTTATTGCTATAAAATCAAGTAGGTTTTAATCACAATAGTTTCTATGATTCAACATAACTCCAACTCCGCTCTGAGCCCTTCTGGGATCAATGCCGGCCCCCGTCCCGTGCAAATCTAACTCTCTGAAAAAATGTTAGACAGAAAAAAATTTCTTTTTCGGTGGCCTATGTTCCATTAAGAGTAACAGGTGTGAGTAAGTAAATAAACATAACTCTGCCTGAAGCCCTTCTAAAAGTTACTGCTGCTACCAAGCTCGGATAAGGGTGGAGGGTTCGGCATAGGCTTAACGACCACATCCTGTAAAAATCCAACTCCCTCAAAGAAACCCTAGCCAGATAAACTAATTCTCTGGTCGGCGCCTATGCTCCAGAGTAACAGACTTAGGCAAGTAAGTAGGTAAGTATACATAAATTCTTCTGGAGCCCTTCTAGAGTTACTGCCGCACTTATTGTCAGATAAAGTAGTAGGCACAGACATCGGACTAATAACCTTATCTTGTAGAGAAAAAAAACTTGCGAAAACAATCGAACCCTAACCAGTAAAACGAAAAAATAAACATCCACACATTCAGTGACCGATTATTACATACCTTAATTCATGACGTGTCAATTCATCGGTAGATAAATTTCGAACAAGACCAACGACAGATTTTAACAAAGGTAAAGCGGATACAAACTGATATTTTAAAAATAAATTCGCGATAACTGGTAAAGTATCACTAGTACGTATCTAGTAAAAAAAGAATAAAGAAAAGTATTTTATTAAGATTAAAAATATTTTTATTCAATAAATCAATTTACGCGTGACTTTTAACAAATAATTCGGGTGCGTACTGTTACGAATGCATGTAGACATGTCATTTTGATATGCTTGAACTGTTACAAGTTTACTTTAGTCGGGAAACGAGAGCGAGGATCGAGGATCCGGCGACACGACATGCTACTCTAATCCGATTCTCCCAAACCACCTATTGAGTAAAAGAAATAGGACCTGTATTCTAAAAGCATCCAGAAAGTCCGAGATCCGAGTCCAGAAAAGAATCAGGATCCTAGACTAGGGATCCGGGTCCGGGCCATAAAACGTTACAGATAATGCGTATTTATACAGTTAGATCGAATAGGAAACAACATTTGAAGTTACACTGATTGTCAGGACGACCATAGAGTATTGACCAGTAGGAATTGACCAATAGAATTAAACTTACAAAGATAATTCTCTTAGGATATTTGACGAATATCCTTTCATAGGTAAGAAAGATAAATCCACTGATGAAGATTCGCTACTTCATCAGTTGAGGTAGTTGTGATATGTGTTACGTATGCACAACCACTGACTGCTTCAACGAGTCATGATTTTTGATGTACGGGTAGGCAAGAAAAAAGCTAAGGGCGGTTAGACCAAAACTTGCCACAAATCTGTGGAATCATTGGCAACCGAGGTCAGTGAACTTCAGTCATGTCGAGAGTGAGGCAGTTACCTACCGAAGACAATGGGTGAGGTTGTGCAATACCTTGTAATGATTAAAGTTAGACATTTACATCGTTGAATGCCTGCTCAATGATCTAAAGGATAAGTGTTTGCTTGCGAAGCTGGAGGTCCAGGGACCCAATTTCCACGAGCGAGGGTGATGGATTCGCAATGCTAGTGTGTGCCATACTAGACAGAAACGGTGAGTTGAGATATTCAACGATTTTCCCATAACCATGAACCCATTACGTCGAGAAATCGAGACAGACATGAGAAGAATGAACAAAAATTGGACAGAACTGGAAAGGGAAGCCCAGGATAAAGTAGATTAGAGAATACTGGTCGGCGGCCTATGCTCCGTTGGAGGTAACAGGCGTAAGTATGTAAGTAAGTTTCGGCTAGAAAATATGTAAGAAATAACTTCGGTCTAAAAACCTAGTCGCTTACGAAGAGACTGATATTCAATGAGATTTAGATGTTTACACTAACTAATCATTGATTTTCATCAGATATTTAAATCTTCTCCCACTGATGCTTAGGACTGCAATTGATCGATAACTTTTGGCGTATATACATACCATGCGAATCGCTTCTACTTTTTGCTATGAAGTTAAAGGTGAGGATGAAAAGTGGCTAGCAGTGTAATCCAGAACGCGCGTTTTATTCTACTTAAGAACTCGTCAGTTTCATATGTACCTGCCTTCTAAAGTTGTTCGCTGAGTGCTTTACTCTAGAATAGAGGTATATCAAGTTGACAAGTCTCAAATAGAGCTAAACGCAAGTCGTAGAGATCCAATTGTCAGACCGTGTCATGTCCGACTGAAGATTGAAGAAATGTTAATCCCCAGAATTATGTATCATTGTTGTTGTCGATTTATTGGTGCGATGTGATTAAGTATAACCTGTAAATAAACCGCATATGTTTGAAATAGAAAATTCAATGAAAACGGAAGCTGGTTACAGATTTGTTGAATCCAACGGGCCGGTTAGGGAGAGAATTCTGTACCAATAAGAACCTAGCTCATTAACTGCGGGTTATTAGCGAGTAGTCGTATCCTAATGAGTGTTTTGTTTGTTTCGCGTGTTATTAGTCAACGCTCACAGACAAAACAGATGTGAATTAAATGAAGAATATGTTATGAGTATTAGAGTTAGATTTTACTCCACTTGGAGGTCTTCTAGGGTTACTGCCGATCCAAGCACTGAATTAAGGAGGAGCATTAAGTATGAGGTTGGCGATATTATCCCGTACAAATACAACTCGCTAAAAGAAGCGCTAGCCAGAAAAATAAGTCTCTGGTTGGCGATCTATGCTCCATTAGGGGTAACAGACGCAGGCAAGTAAGTAAGAGTTCAATCTTATACATTACAATAAGACTCTTACAAAATATTCTGAGGGAGAAAATGTCCAAAAGAAAACGTACTTCATAAATTGCTGAATTCGCATGAGGATTTCGATGTGTTACATGCCTTAAAGCAGAACATATAGGTTCAGCAATCTCTTGACGATCGGAATTTAAGCATAATAATCTACAGAGAACTTTTACACCACCTAAATAAATCAAAAAAGGAATACATGCAAATATATTTATAATTTTTATCATAGTTTTGCGAAGATTGTTGAGTTTCATTGAAATCATGAATCGATTATTGTGAGACTACCATTAGAAACATGTAAGCACTGAACGGCTGTTTTCTCCTAGTATGGGATTCATCAGTGGCAGTGTGCATCCATGACGCCGTGAGCGGGAATCAATTCCAGGACCTTCAATCTCGCAAGCGAACACTTACTCGCTACACCAGTGAGCCGGCATCCAACAGTGTTAATATCGGACTTCAGTCAGTCAAGGTATTGCGTAACCTCACCCATTGTCTTCGGTAGGTCACTGCCTACACCCGACAGCAATGAACTCCAATAGTAATGGCTTTTTAGTAGAAATTCAAGAATTTCCTTACGTAGCTGGATGCTAGTGAGAACCTTTGTGTGATTTTTATTTTACAGTTCTGAAGACTGTTGATTTTCCCGCGAGTGAAGGTGGTGGATACTTACTGTCACCGATGAGTCCAATAATAGGACGAAAAGGTTGTCCCGTACTTCTATATTACTCATCGAAGACAATGAGTGAGGTTGTGCAATACCTTGGGTTGATTAACGACAGACATTTACACTGTTGGATACCGACCCAGTGGTTAAGAGTTTGGGCGTTTGCATGCACAACGGAAGGTCTTGGGTAAGATTCTCACTTGCGAGGGCTGTGGATACGCGCTGCGACTGATGAGTCCCATTGTAGGATGAAACAGTCGTCCAGTGTTTACAGGTCTCTAATAATGGTCTAACAAAGATTGATTCATGATTTCAATAAATATCATTTATTGTTATAAATCAAATGGGAAACTATAGCAGAGGGATTTAGATTGGATATTTTAATTTAGATAATTAATAGGCATTAGTTTAGTTTAGGAAAAAAGTATTCTGTTCGAGAAATATAACTTTCCATCACTGTTCATCAACATTCATGAGGGTTGTATTACAAAATAAAACTAAATAATTCTAAATTTTAATATTAGGAACAATAATTCTAAATTACTTATTAACTTCGGACTCAAAGATAACAGCGAAAACAAATAAAGAACTCGAGAAATCATTTCGTAGCGTGCAGAGGGCGACACTATGACTTGCCTAAAAAGGTAGTCAACGTTTCACGGAATTCTTATGATGGATTATGCATGGAGGACAGCTCACAGTCTTGTTCCGAGTAAAGAACGGTGTCAGGCAAGGTTGCTTACTTTTACCATTTTTCTATCTCCTGAGGGGAAGCAGGGTATAAGGTTGACAGCTGGGATGCAGTTGGACGATTTGTACTTAACAGATGATCTAGCTCTTCTATCCCATACACAACAACAAATTCAGGTGAAGACGGCCAGTGTAGCAGCAGCCTCACCAGCAGTAGGTTTCGGCATAAACGAGGGAAAAAGCAAGATCTTCCGATACAAGAAAACATGCACCAACCGAATCACACTTGACGGAGAAGCTCTGGAAGACGTGGAAATATCTACATACCTGGACAGAGTTGGCAGGAGAATGCTAGTCGGCGGCCTATACACTATTAGGGGTTACAAGCATCTGTAAGTAAGTAAATAGTTAACTAACCGAATATTTAATTTATTCCTTTTCATATTAATTACTTGATGAATTTTCTCAAGCTCCATCAAAATTCCACAGTAAAATTTTTTTCTAACACTATGATTTAACGATGTGAAATTCTCACAATGAGACTACGAAAATTATAAATTCGAGTTTGTATTAGGTTATAACAGAAAAGTCTGTAACTTAGAATTTGGTAATCAGCTTAAATTTCTAATGGTTTTTTAATAATGAGTGCCCAACAAAGGAAATCTATAACCATAGCAACTGAGTTGAGGCTTTCGCGCGCAAGACCAAAGGTCCTAGGTTTGAGCCCTGCACGCATGAGACATGAATGCGCACTTTTGATGAGTCCCATTGTAGGACGAAACAGTCGACAATGTGCATACTGTGAATTCTGACCACTATGTTAGTCATCATGTTAGTTAGTCATAAACATTGTGGGGACTGGTTCATATATGCACTGATCATATTGGCACAATGATGTAGCAGTGATGGAAATGACAATGAATAAATGTTGGAAATATAGTACAAAGAGAAGGAATATCGGAGATGAAGATCTAGTATAATGAATGAATGAGTTAACGCCACTGTGATCAACTCTGAGTAATATCACTCAAAGTCTCCAATCACTGATCGTCATTATCGAGCAGACCTTAACTAGATAATCTGTATCTAGAAATACAGCCCCAGACCAACAGTTATTTATGACCTCATGGACTAACATCACATTTTTTGATTGGAACTTCCTTACACCTGAATTTAGTCCTGAAATAGTTACTATTACACGTTGATGTAGGTAGGTTACGATTAGTCATACGTGACATATGTCCCAACTATCTCATTAGGCGATAAAGGCTCATGGACTGATTAACCGATTTGCTACTTCTGCCTTGTACCTTGTGTATAACCTTTGCGTATACAATGAGTTGAAAACACCTTTAATTGGAAACGCAAAGCTTCAATTCGAATCCCATAGTGGTAGAGATAGTAAAAGTATTAGCGATTAAAGAGAAGATTAGGGTTTGAAGATGTTATTCAAGGAGTATAATCTAGTGAGAAGGATGGTGGTGATGAGAAATTTAGAAGTTTAGAATTTGAGAGAAGACAAAGAATATATGCTTTTAAACCACTGCAAACGATCATCATCAGTTACTATTGTCTCGTGAACTCCATATGATTAACAGTGTGTTCAATATTCAATAAAAAGGCGTACATCTTCAAAACAACGATCGTTACTTGAAAAAAATATGAAATGTAACCGTGACCTAACTTAACTTCCAGCTACTGAGAGCCACAGGTTCGAATCCCGCCACATATACTTTATATTAAGCAACAGGAGAGTATCATACATCAATCATTTGATACTTAGAGTATGACGCTTTCAAAGACAAATAAAAATCAAAACCTACCAAGAATCTTACCTTTTTCAACTAATAAACTTTTATTTTGTACATTTTGACAAGTTAAATTACATAGACATCCAGCAGAACAAATAGAAATGTGTTCATTTTTACTAGCCAATAAACTAATCAATATTGGAATAAGATTTTTTGTAGCCAATAAATGATAAGCTTGATCACTGATATTACGTAAACCCCATAGAGTTTCTAATTGTAATACTTCATTGGTACAATTCAATAATGGAGTTAATGCCTGTGGGATGAAAAAGTAACAAGTTGTATAGTGTGTGTGTGTGTGTGTACAGTGAACTCTAATGTACTTCTTTTTGGTCGAAGAAAACTACAAATAGTACATGAAATACATAACGAAGTTGGACAGTCCTGATTCAAAACCAATAGTGCTCATAGTCTCTCGTATAGGGAGAGAACAAAATGATGCATGAACCTATCATTGGTCACTGGCTACCAGTGGGCTACATCTCCTACAGTTACTTCATTACTATATGGATTAGACTTTTGGGTCAAACGGTCATGGACTGACACCCGAAGAAAACCTATTGCTTATCAGTCCGTACACTTAAACAGTATCCCAATTCATACGTAAATTCTTTGATTTATGCGGTGCATAAATGCTTAGATGGTCTCTTTTGTGCAAATTATGTGTTCAGACTTTTTTTTTTGAAAAAATATATCGTACATTGAATAAAACTGGCCCCTCTGTTATAGCATCTTTTATCGGGTTATTTCTCTACTGCTTAGTGTTACTAAACCCATGCCCAACTCTCATCCTTCATATCCCGGCTTGGGACTGTCTGTAACCTCAGACGGAAGTCCCACTATTATAATAGATTATTTTTATTAAAAGTTCAATGAGATTGGTTCAGTTTTTAAAAATATAATTGAACTTCATCTTACATGGGTGATTATCGTAAAACAAAAATTTTATTATAAGACTTAGCTTGTGGAATAAAACATTGAACTAACTATTTGAAAATGGATTTGGACTGATAAATTAACAATCAACTAACTGGAATATAGACTTCATTCGATAAATTCGGTAACATGAACATTTAGAATTAAGTACGTAGATATTTCATTGAGGAACGGTTCTTAACGCTTGAGAAGCAACCTGACAATATAACTCGTTAAAGAGCTGATATGATATGAGAGAAAATACTTTTTCATTTGCTCACTATACTACTATAAAACAGTTAGTAATTGTGATTTTGCTACTGATTAATTGGATACTCTGTCGAGACGCTCTACACAGGCAGGATTACGTTTATATATATGATACCCTACTAACAACCAATAGTTGGGAATCAAAGTATGTACTAGACAAAAATATCTTGTTCAATGCAATTACAAGCAGTCTACAGCCAGTGAGTACAAAGTTGAAATCAACAATCGAAAGGATTGATATTTAGTTAGTTCAGTATCTACCCGTACACTTTCAGAGGCCAATCGCATCTTATTCACACTATCATGTACCAATAAAATAGGAAAAGTAGAGAGTTTAACTTAGTCTTTAGCATGCAGTTAACCAATAATCATGATCAGTTTCTATTAGTACATATTTACTGAATACATACTGGTATACTTAGTTTCTAACTACACGCTGTAAGTGTCAGCGAGCTAGTGATATACTACTCATTGTATCACTCGTTCAATATTCAAACCAATTTTACTAATGTTGTAAGGTTTGTCAATAAAGAAAATATGATTAACCATTGCTTAGGACGTTGTCTACGCAAAATACTTCGGATTCGTTGGCCAGACACTATCAGCAACAACGTACTGTGGGAGGGAACAAACCAGATTTCAGTGGATGTAGAAATCAGGAAGAAGTGGTGGAAGTGAATAGGACATACACTACGGAAAGCACTGAACTGCGTCACGAGACAAGCCCTCACATGGAAACCTCAAGGCAAAAGGAAAAGAGGAAGGCCAAGTGACACATTACGCCGAGAAATAGAGAAAGATATGAGAGGAATGAACAAACATTGGACAGAACTGGAGACGGAAGCCCAGGACAGAGTTGGTTGGAGAAAACTGGTCGGCGTCCTATGCTCCATTGGGGGTAACAGGCGTTAGTAAGTAAGTAGTATTGCTTAGGACAATAATTAATAAACCAATAATCACTATTTTTCCATAGATTATTGTAATAATAATAATAACAAATCTTTCGATTGAAACATTGAATTGCACTAATTCAATATTCAATAAATATTTTATTCTATAAATGCAATAATAATCATAAAATTTTTCAAAAAGAATAGAAATGTTGTTCAATTTTATTAAACAAATATATAACTCACTTCTACAGTGCCTGCTTCAACTAGTTTAATCTTGTTTTCATTGCATACACTTAAAACTTTAATTAATCTCGCTATATTATATGATATTTTCATATTGGTTGGATAAGTTCGCAAAAGACGTACAATAATTTGATAGATGCTAGTTGATGTAAGTGTAAGCTTTTTTGTAAAATAGAAAAAAACACACACAACAATAATAACAAAGTGTAAACGAAACATTGAAAAAGATAGTTAAATAATGGGAGAAACTTGAAAGGAAATGTTAAACATACGTCTCATGTTATTTGCTATTGATTATCGATAGGATTTGACCAGTACTAAAAAAAGAACTGAATAAATATGACAATGTCACCAGTACTCAGTGATCCAGAGGTTAAGCGTTCGCGCGTGAGACTGAAGGTCCGCGGTCCGATTGTTGTGACCACGGGGGTCGTGAATGGTCATTGCTGATGAGTCCTATACTAGAAGGAAACAGCTGTCCAATGCTTCCAGCTTTCTAACAGTGGTCTGACATAAGATGGATTCATGATTTGGATGGCATTAAGTATATATGTTATTAATTCGTGAAGTTATTGACTGTCAGTCTAAGGCACATAGATGCATAATTCTTATTTCACAACTATATTTGATTTTACTTTCACTGAATTATTGCTCTTATGATTCATGTCTTTTCTCAATTGCTAAGGACACTACCCCTAACTCAGGTCTCATATGATCGAGAGAAAAAATTTCGTTAATGCGAAAAAATCATTATCCGACATGAGAAAAAGGGTCATAAGAGTGTTTCAGTCCATTTGCGTGAGGCTGGGCTGCATCTCTTGCTATCTTGTGCCGTACTATATGTATACCATATGCTATACTACTATTTAGAGCTGAAGGTTTCCTGTGAAACTGGAGGTTCATTGTGGATAGTTTGACATTACTTTGGCAAGTTTTGCTAATAGTCTACATAAAAGTCTGGTTTGCTGGGTGACCGATTACATTGATAGTGGTGGTTGTTTTGCAACATTCCCGACAGCCAATGTCATTGGGACGCCGTAATGCATATCACCATTTCTAATAATCATTAGTTTGACAGTCATGTAAGCGGAATGAGTCGAATAGGGCATGCGGTGCATATTAATTGACTATGCGATTATAGATCGAAAATAATCACTATATATGTACTAGTGTTTATTATAAATAGCGTGAATAGTCCACCAGGGTATCAGACACCTGTGTGGTGGTTGCACCACAGAATTGATCCGAACTGTTCACATTGTAGTGTTAACACGTGGGCAGTTTCCTTGGTTCTCCTGATAACCAACGTACACTTATTCTTGCCAACTGAAGGTGAATTTTTATATCAGTATGTGAAATAATTTCTCAATTGCTAGACTGTTAATAAAAGATGCAATGATGTAAACTTGTTCAGTTGAAATGAATAATTATTGAAAGTAGATTGCAATATGTCTTTACAAATTTTCTTGTTTATAAGCTTATCATTGGAATTATTAATTCCCTAAATTCTCACTAAATGAATTATTCATTAAAAAATAGTCTAATTTTTTCGGTACAAATTAAAAGTTAGTTGAGTACAAATCACAATTTCATTTTTATTGTGTAGTGTAATTATGTAATTAGTATATGTAAAGTTGTGTTTTAAATCATAATATTATAGTGTGTTGGTTGTTCTGGTATACTTCTCTTCTGATTGGCTATTGAAAATAGCAACCACATATCGGATCAATAGGATTTCAGACACACTGTGTTGAGTTGGTCAAAACGAAGTTCAATAGTCTGATAAGCCTAGATAGCGTGAACTTATGATGAATAAACTATAAGCTTAATTCGATTAAGTGGATATATAAAGAAGAGCTGAACAGAATGAAGCATCCAATTGCAGAACAAGGCAAAACATCACTTGGAATCCTTAAAGCCAAAGTAAAAGAGAATGACTGGAAGACACAATACTCTGAGTAAGAGAGACAGATATGAGAAGAATGCACAACAGTTGGATAGAACAAGAAAGGAAAGCCTAGGACAGAGTAGGTTGGAGAATGCTGATCGGAGATCTATGCTCCACTGGGGGTAATAGGCGTAAGTAAGCAATCATAACAGAATTGATCAGCATTCATGTTAGGTTCATTGTTCTTTCAATGTCTGACTGCAGATCTATGTCAACAGATGGAATACTTACCTTTGTTATGCACGAATAAAAACAAATCAAGTTTTGAAAAAAATACTACTGTTATACTCAAGCTTAATCCACATTAGTACATAAAACTATAAGTTTGTATACTCTCGTAGGGATAGATCATATTGGATGTACAGGGTGAAGAATTCCTCAGAGCGTCTTCGAAAATCTCAGTCAAAAAGAGAATACAAAACGTCTGCTGTTACGGGTATGTGGATGGATATCACTCCTTGGCTGCCCAAACCATGCAAGGGTGTTTCCTGAAGAAACTGATAAGGAAATCCGATTAGCTCTGACCTGGAAGTGTGATGGAGGAGTCCAAAAGACAACTGTTTGAGGCCGTTCACGAACACAGACATTTTATTGAAGGATTTTGAAGTGTTAGTTCTGCTGATAGAGACAGAAATCTGTGAGGTAGGGTGAGGTGTGACATTTTTATGGTCGACATTTTCTAACCTCTTCTTTCCTTGTGAGAAGGCAACATCGCTGCAGATGCTGGTTGTCCAAGGGGAACAACTGACTGCCGTCACCCCTCTACAGTCAGCAGTACGACTTCACTCTCAGATCTTGAGTTGCTGCTTTCAGTCTCACTGTTCTCCAATCGGCCTGCCTGGCATGGCGGAACCCACAGGAACATATGTTCCAGCCAATATGACTCGGTTGGGTCATCACGATAGACTTATGTACATACGTACGAAGTTCTACTTTGCCACTGACTGACAGAATACAAAACAATCAATAGCTCAGGTTTGGAACATCTTATCAATTCTGATAACAATAGCTCACCAGAAATATTTTTTACTAAAATAAACTGCACAGTCAAATGATTGAGCTTGACAGAAGTACTAATGAATAACTTGTGTACTTTAAAAGAGTTAGCAATTCAATGGCACAAATGTGAACTCTGTGTGTGTGTGTGTGTGCAAAACCGGTATGTGTAATGTCTCGCGATCTAAGATTATTTTATTGTAATTTTTAAAAATCTTTTCATACTTCTGTAAACTGTGCTTGTTAAAACATTCAATAAATTATAAGTTATTATCGTATCATTGTTTTAATTACTTCCTAATCTCTTTCAACTGGATCAATCTATCCTTAGATTTATTTGGCATTCAAAACCCCGTGTCTGGAAATCGAACTAAGGAGATTTGGTCTACTGTGTAAACGCTTGACCTCTAGACTATTGAGTTGGAATCCAACAGTGAATTGGTGAAATGTACGTACTGGTGTCGTTGGGCGAAGGCTCAGTAGTCTAAAGACTAAGCATTCACACATGAAACCAAAGGTTCTGGGTTCGAATTCACAGCGCAAAATCTTAGATGAGCACTATGATTGAGGAGTTTCATACTAGAACGGAACAGTCATCTAGAGCTCACAATCATTCAATGCTCCAGTTAAAAATAGGGTATGATTTAGAGAGTGAACATTTGATTTCATCTAAGCCAATGCTGGAGAAGTAAAGTTCTTTGAGATATTAGTCAGTCAGTCAGTTAGTCAGTCGCAACGTAGAACTTGGTACGTAAGTACATCAGTTCATGTTGCCATACCACATCAGCACAGAGATATAATTGTCAATTCAAATCCAATAGTAGAAGAGGTAGTAAAGTAATTTGAGATATTAGAGAAAATTTGTAGCTCAGGTGGATGATTCTGGTGGAGTTTCGTTCTCTGAGCTGAATGTTTTAGTTGTGGAGATTTCATCACTCTTACGAACAACATCAGCGCAAATTTTAGATAGAAATAGATAGTATTCACATTTCTCCACGTATGATTTGTAGCTTGTTCTGTTGACCTCGATCTTGATTAGTCTTTATTGACCTGAAATCTATCGTTGTTTGGATCTTCATTGTGATTGTATCTCCCTTTGATCGGTTTCTTGATCCCATGTTTGCCTATAATTTTTCTGATTGGCTGATAAATTGGGTCACTGTCGATGTGTTTGTTGATTGCTGATTGACTTGAGGGCCAAGCTTCTAAAAAATCTCCAGTGTCCTATCCAGTATTTTAACATTTTGCCGATCGAGTTTACGTCCGTATGTATGGATATCAGAGGAGAAATATCATGGCATTTGACTGCTAACTGATATTCATGCAGACGAAGTTGCAGAGGGCGTCAACTCTGACAATCAATAAAACTTTTATAGAAGCTTAACTGAACATTATCTAAAAATCAAGTAGTATGTTCCACATATGCAAACCTTAACACTATGTAAGCCATTGTCATACTGTATGACATCTATCAATTTACATGTAGGTTTATGAGCGCTCACATGTATGGAGTAGTAATCATGATTTTGATGTAAAAGTATCTGAACAAACATCGGAATGTTTACAAAAACAATTGAATCCCAATCAATAAAGAAAAGTATAGGATAAACAAACACCATCCTTCATTACCACAAATTTGGTTAAGACAAGTTATAGGGTTGATATCAACAGTGTCGTACAGAATAAACTAGATTTGATCAATAACTCTGTGTTAAACAAAAAACTTCAAAAAAAGCAGACGATAAGATACGTGTCTGTGCATTTGTAGCACATCTGTTGTTCAATGTTCAACATATGTGTAATATCTAGCATGTTTATTAAGTAAACACTAACTCCATATAAGAGAATAATGTCTCATTAGAAATTTTATTTAAACCTTTTTCACTAAGCCAATTGGGATGCGTTACAGTAGCTTGTTTGCAAAAGACATTTATAGACAGCTTCAGATGAAAACTGCACACTTAATATTCATCAGTGACATAGCAAATGTGTGAAAAAATACTTGAAAATGTTAGGTAGTGTACTTATATTGAGTACTGGAAGACCGTCGTTTGGTCCTGGTATGGAACTCACCAGCAGTGCGCATCCATGACTCTAGCTACTCGCAGGATTGGAACCAAAAGGACTTTTAGCCTTGCGCACGAACGCTTAACCTCTGGACCAATGAGCCAGCAACTAACGGAGTTAATGTTTAACTTAGATCAATTTATGTGATCAGATTGTTATCTGGAATGCAATACACTAATATAATGCAACAAACATTCTGGAAAACGTTCATCGTTTCATTGTTTTATTCAAATTTATTGCATTTTGTAAATACTTTAATAGACTATTATATATTTATTAAATCACTAAAAAAAAGCTACAACTTTACAGCTTCAGGTAAATAATATCTTCTAAATGAAAGAATTATCATGAATAAATAATTGTTTGACTACTATTAGGGACCTGGAAGCACACTGGTGACTAGCTTCGTGAGGTTCTCCGAGTTCTGGTAAAAAGATTTGACCAGCGTAGTTCAACCCTGTCGGGTCTAGGCAGTTAACTACATAAGACAATCGGTGAGGTTGATCAGAGTTACACATTAACACAGCTGGATACCGGCTCAGTAGACCAGAAATCAAACGTTCACGCGCAAAACCGAAGGTCCTCGGTTCGATTCCTAAGAGTAACAGGAGTCTTGGATGCACACTGCCACAGGTGAGTCAGTCACATACCAGGACAAAACGGCCGACCAGTGCTTGCAGGTGTCTGATGGTCATCTACCAATCATTCATTCATGATATTAAGGTAAAACTACCATCTCCATTATATTCTAATTCAAAATCGAAAGTATCTTAGTTGAATTGTCTTTATTTGACACACTGATTGTCTTTCGTTGAATATATTCATGTATTTCTTGAAAAATAATTCCTTTTATTAAAACATATTGATCTTTTTAATACAACGTAGTTTAAAAATTAAATTCCTTTAAAGACACAATTAAACTAACATAGTTTATTCAATATACAAAACTGTGACCTGAAAACTGTCAGTCAAATTTGGAAGAACAACTCTGAAGAATCTGTTGATTGCTTCTTATGGCCGAGAAATGGATAGTGAAATGAGAGTATATATATATACATTAAAGCTTTTTTCAACTAAATACGAACTTTTCAGTGTGAAATAACGCAAAAGAAGCATTTCTACAATTGGAGAACAATTGGAACTCAAAACATCTACCAACCAACACAGTTAGAGAAACAGTTCTGTTGTATAACGCTTAAACTTAGAAAACCACGAAAACCGTCATTCAAAACAGACAGGTGTGTTTATTAACAGTTGTCTGTACATGATCCAGAATTCAGATCTTTAAGCCAGACACATGAGCTACAACCTACTGTAACAGAGAATAAACCAGATTCCAGATAAGGAAGAAATTAGAAAGATAAACTAGAGGTGAATAGGACATAGATTGAAGAAATCTTACAACTGTATAACAAGGTAAGATCTAACTTGAACTACTGCTAATGCGTTTACTACCTTTAGTACTGTGATATACGAATCGACAGCTGCATCCCTGTGCTAATATGGCATGGCAACTTGAACTAATGTACGTACATACAAAGTTCTACGTTGTAACTGACTGACTGACTGACTGAACTACTCAGTGGACAATGAATCGTAGAAGATCAAAGAACTGGGACTTAACGTATAGTATACTGATGACCTTGACAGGAAACGCTGTCTAGGTATGAAACAATTAACAGCATAAAACAATCAAATAACAGTGAGATAATAGCTTCGATATGAACAGTTAACACTTACATGCCAAATCAGTCCTTTTAGTATCAAAAAACAAACGGCAAGTTTATATTTAGAAACTTAGGCTACTGTTATGAGTCAGAGTTATCATTTCGCCGAGATTTTATCATCATCTGAAAACAGTTATAATTCAAAAAGGTTACGCTTAGAAATCATGAGTTAAGCTAGAATTCAGACTTTAGTTTTCCACACTAGGATTAGAAATTTTATCACAAACTGACATCAACTACGATGTTTTGCCACTCATTCATTCATAAACTTCAAAACCAAGTACTTCGAGACACAATCTGTCTTAAAAAACATGTATGTTCTGTAACTTAGCTTCAACACCACCTAAATTTGATATTCTGGTTGCATAATATAAATTTCTATTGATTACAAACACTTTAAAGACCTAGTATTGCTAATGTTTACTTCATTCATAATCACCTACAAATTTATTTATCAGTTCGTTTTAAATTTCGCTCAGAATATATATAAGGTGTCATCTTAATTCTGATTGGTTAATTCAAGGCCAACAACGTAATAATAATAATAATTCAGTTATGACTCATGATTTCAATGTGTAAAGAAAAAATTCATTTATCATCATTGACACACCTTTGTTTCACTACTTTCATAAACTGCCATACGTAATGTATCTAAACAAATTAACAGCCAATTTGAATCATCCAATCGATTTTCTTCAAGTAAATAAATAAGATTTAATTGACCATGACATTGTCGAAATTCTGGACGAGAATAATTCGGTAAATGCCATAATAATTGATTTAATATGTAAAGTGCAGTAGTATACATAATTTCTGATGGATGCCTTGAAGAAAATGTAAATGAGGAAAGAAAAATACATTATCATTGATTGATTAAGGAAAAAAAGAAGGCTTACAGAAAAAATTGAGAATACTGGGAAAAATTTATCTCCCTGTCCTTCGGATCATAAGGAAAACGGTACAAAGGAAGGCAGATCAATTGATAAGGTAGTGAATTTTCATTAGTCGAAGTGGTTGGGACATGTGTTACATGTGCCTAACCAACCAACGACTACCTCAATGTACGATGCTATCTGATGTAAGAGTAGGTGAGAAAGAAGCTAAGGGTGGCCAAACCAAAACATGGCAGAAATCCATGAAGTCACTAACAAGTGGACAAGACCATGTTGGTAAGTGTGGACTACGTGGTTGGGTTCCGCGAAACAAAAGTAACCGACGGTTAGGGATTTTGAATGACATGAATC